GATGCCGACATTACAGTGGTGGAGAACACTAAGGATGTCCCTGAGGCTCCTTCAGATCAATCTCCACCACTGTAAAGCAGCATCCGCTGCTCTTATACTCCGCCTCGAAGAGAGCGGAGCAGACGTAGCCCTGATCCAGGAACCTTGGATAGTGGGAGACAAGGTTTGTGGATTAGGGTCGAAGGAGTACAAGATAATTGTAGCTCAACATGAAGGTAAAACTCGCACCTGCATTCTCGCCAGAAAGCACCTTAATATCTTTCTGCTCCATAATTATAGCGATAGCGACAACACGGCGGTAAGCCTAGAGCTGGAAGGGACACATCTAAGGCTGATGTCGTCCTACATGGCCCATGAGGGAAACGATCCCCCCAACGACCTTGTTCGCAAACTAGCCAGCGACAGCGAGAGGTCGGACATAGACCTATTAATAGGTTGCGATGCCAACGCTCACCACACTCAATGGGGGAGCTCGAACACAAATGCAAGGGGTGAGTCACTTTTCAGCTTCATCCTTAACTCAAATCTATTTATTTGTAATCGGGGCAACGACCCCACTTTTATAATTAAAAATCGACAGGAGGTTATTGACATCACCCTAGTGTCTTCCAACCTGTTAGACATAGTCAAGAGTTGGCAAGTCCTTGTTGACCACTCCTTCTCTGACCACAGATACATCGAGACCACACTATCCCTCGAGTGTCCGAAACCTAAGGACTATATTAATCCCAGGAAAGCCAACTGGGAAAAATATAGCTCAGCCCTGGAGGACTTACTCCCCTCCAAAGCACCATCATGCCCTGACACAAACGACGACCTAGATCGCCTAGTGAACAGGTTCACAGAGGCATGCAACAAAGCCTTCGCGGCAGCATGCCCCTCTAGCAAACCTAGGGGGAAAAAGAAACCCCCCTGGTGGTCAAAGCAAATAGACATCCTACGTAAAAGCTGCAGGACCCTTTTCAACAGGGCCAAAAGCGCGAACGAGGAGAGCCACTGGGCAGACTATAAAATCAGTCTGTCACTATATAAAAAGGAAACAAGGAAAGCAAAAAGGGCCTCTTGGCAAAAATTTTGCTCGGAAATTGAGGAAACATCAGAGGCCGCAAGGCTTCGCAAGATTCTCTCAAAAACTAACCCCTCGGTGGGGTATCTTAAAAGGAATGACGGCACGTGGACTAACTCCAGTGAGGAGTCCCTGCACATTCTACTAGACACACATTTTCCAGGGTGCACAACCATCGAGACGGCACATCTTCCAGGAGAGGGACCGGTAACCTCGATGGATCACATCCTCACAAAACGTAACATAAGCTGGGCAATAAACAGCTTCAACCCGTTCAAATCGCCAGGCCCAGACCAGGTAATCCCGGCCCAACTTCAGAAGGCCGGGGATACGGCCATAAACTGGCTACAAGGTATCTTCAGGAAGATACTGGCTGTGGGTACAATGCCGCGAACATGGCTTAAGGCAAAGATAGTCTTCATTCCCAAAGCTGGGAAAGCCTCGCACTCAGCTGCAAAAGACTTTAGACCAATCAGCCTATCGTCCTTCCTCCTCAAAACCTTTGAGAGACTCGTCGGGCTGCAACTGAGGACAACTATACACCCTCAGTTGCTGTCAGACGCACAGCATGCCTACCGGAAAGGAAAATCCACGGAAACGGCTCTTCATGAAGTGATCTCTGCGGTAGAGAAATCTCTGCATCACAAAGAGTACTCACTCATAGCATTTCTCGACATTGAGGGAGCTTTCAACAACGTTGTACCGGGTGCCATTACAGAAGCCCTGACTGACCTGGGGGTGGACCGTCACTTGGTGATGCTCATTGATCAATTGCTCACATGCAGGACGGTGACATCATCGATGGGATCGTCCGCCCAGTCAAGGTATGTCAACAGAGGCACCCCGCAAGGTGGTGTCCTGTCTCCTCTTCTGTGGAACATAGCAGTCAACAAGATTCTATGGGACCTGGAGGGGGGGGGCTGCAAAGTCGTGGCCTATGCGGATGACGTTGCGATTATTTTCTCGGGGAAATACCCCCAAACACTGTGCGACTTAATGTCCACAAAGCTAGCGCAACTGTCGGACTGGACGAAATCGCGCGGTCTGGGAGTAAATCCCTCAAAAACGGAACTCGTGTTATTCACAAATAAATACAAGGTCCCGCCCCTCAACCCTCCAATACTACAAGGATGCAGGCTCTCCTTTAGCGACAGTGCCAGTTACTTAGGGTTGGTAATTGACAAGAAGCTTAACTGGAACCTGAATGTCAAAGACAGAGTGAAAAAGGCAATGACTGCACTCTATACATGCAAAAAAGCTATTGGGCTAAGATGGGGTATGATCCCAAGCATAGTCCAATGGATATATCAAGCTATAGTTAGACCAATACTACTCTACGGAGTTACGGTGTGGTGGCCAGCCCTATCAAAAAGGGCGATCACCAAGCAACTGGGCAAAGTCCAGCGGACTGCCGCCCTATGCATCAGCGGAGCTCTCCGCACCACCCCAAATGATGCGCTAAATGCCATCCTATGCCTACAGAGCCTTGAACTCGCAGGAAAGGAACGGGCAGAAGCAGCAGCAATACGTCTAAGAGACTCAGATCAATGGGTGACACAGTGCATAGGTCACTCAGCCATATTAAATAGCAGTACTGTCCCCTCAAAAACAGACTACCAAGTTCCAAGAGAGTATACAGACACTCCCTTCGACACAATCATCCCTCATAGAGACGAATGGCTCGAGGGACTCCCAGGCCCTGAAGGGGCCATAAGCATCTTCACAGATGGATCAAAGCTGGACGACAGAGTCGGAGGGGGAATCTACTCTGAACAGCTAAACATAAGGCATTCCTTCAGACTCCCAGATCATTGCAGTGTCTTTCAAGCGGAAGTCATAGCAATCAGGGAGGCACTAGACTGCCTACAAGCGGCTGCCGTCACGGCAACCAAGCTAAACATTTATAGCGACAGCCAAGCTGCGATCAAATCGCTAAGCGCGATTTCCTCGAACTCGGCCACCGTGGCAGACTGCCGCAAATCTCTACACGAGATGGCTCAGCAATTTGCTATTAGCCTAATTTGGGTCCCGGGCCACCGGGACATCGAGGGCAACTGTATAGCGGACGAGCTGGCCAGATCTGGCACTACAATCCCCCTTCTCCAAGACAAGGAGGATATCTGTATGCCAATGGCCACCTGTAAGCTCATCATAAGGGAGCAATACAAGCGACTAAAAAACGATATGTGGCAAACAGTGCCACGATGTCGCACAACTCGGCAAACATGGCCGACCATGGACATGAAGCGCACCTCCGAGCTCCTCAAGTTAAGCAGGAAAAGGTGCAGCGTAGTCACTCGTTCCCTCACGGGACACTGGCTAATAGGCACCCACGCTAACAGGCTGGGGGCCCCACATAACGATTTTTGTCGCAGCTGTAGAGACGAGGAAGAGGAGGAGACAGTGGAACATCTGTTCTGCTCCTGCCCGGCTCTCAGCAGAAGAAGGCTACAACACCTGGGCTCAGCCTTTCTACACGACATCTCAGAGATGTCCAAACTATGTCCCAGAAGGATAGCGAACTTTGTGAGAGCATCTGGATGGGATAATTGCTGACAGGAAGTCTCACAACGCAGGAAGGAAATGATCCTATGCGGTATCACAACGGGCCGAAACCGGCCTAAGTGTGACGGGCTCCGAGCGAGCCCGGCAGCCGCCTCAACCTAACCTAACCTAACAAGTCCCCCAGTGGCAGCCTGCCCCATGCCCCCACCCCGAACCCCTACTCCTGCCACTGGCTAGCGCACAGGCAACCGCCATTATCAATCTGCCTTGCCTTTCCCATCGCTTTGAGACGGAGAACACGGTACTGCACGGCACTGCACGGAGCGGCGCGGCGCGGAGCGGAGGTTTCTGTGGCAACCAGCTTTTGTGCAACAAAAGGGAGGCAGCATCAGCAGCAGCAGCTATCTGCTGCATTGCATTCGGTTTCAAGTTCAAATTCATTAAAAATGGTTATCCAAGCAGCCCCTTCTGGTGCCTCCCCCTTCTGCCTCTCGGAGTCCTCCTCAATAGAGGAGGTCCTTATTTATGAGTTTCAATTAAAAATGTTTTTGGCGCACAATGACCTCCTGCTCCCACTCCTCCTTCTGCCTTCCTGCCACTGCCTGTGTCGTCTGTGGCCAAACATCAATTTCCGCTCAACAGGAATATGGATGTAGGATGTGGGATGACCGTGTAAGCGGAAATTTATTTTTAACATTATGACCAGAATCCGAACGCACAGGGCGAGCATGAGGATGAGATTATGACTGCCTCATAATTTGCACACATTAGGATCCTGCTAATGTCAGTTCTGTAGTTTGTCAGGCAAACCACTGCCCAAGTAGCTACACAATCAAACGACGGATGTTGAGACTACTAAGGGATTGATGTGGAAAGAGGCAGGGGGATGGGATGGCACTCTTGGGGAACGAACCGAAATGCAAGGCCCACTGGCCAGTGGATGGGTTCGTTCATCAGAGGAATACTTCTCACAATCGAACAAATGAGCGAATTCAGATGAATTGAAAGATGAGAAAACACTACCGCATGATAGACGATAAACATGAGATTATGTTTCGAACTCTGAGGAATATTGGAATACGAATACGATTATAGCATTGCAATTTCCATCGCCTTCCAGAGTTTGAGTGAAATGCCCCTCATATCTAGAATTTTATCATATTGTAACTCAGTAAACCCTGAGAAATTTTTATCAAAGCAGCAGGCAGCAGGCATGGAAAAGTCTGTCTGTCTGCCACTTGAAATTCATTTTATTGAAATTTGTTTAGCTCCCGAAAGGAATGTGATTTGCTGAGCTTCCAGAGGAATCTGCAGGCGGCAAATGCTCTTGTGCCCTGCCACAAAGGAGAATCACACGAATCACAATCAAAGAAAACAATCGATGGATGGTTAATTAAATCAAATTTTTAATGATCTTAACCATTTGCTATAAACAAAGTCGATAAAATGTGTCGATTGGTGTTCTGTGCTGGCAATAATCCCTGTTGATTTGTTGTTGTTTCTTAATGTGATCCACGATATTCAGAGCCGAGACCAGAGCCCACAGTGTCGAGTGCCGATGCCATCGACAGCAGAGCCTTCAATCTGTAAATGGAAAAGTAGAGGATTAATTCAATCCAATTCAAATCCTAATTAGGTCCCGACTCACACCAAGGTAGAGGCTGCTTATAGTTCGCTTCTTGGTTTATCTGCCCAATGAAGCTCTTGTCCAGGATGCAATCCCCTGTGCCTTCGGCCGGTTCCATCCTGCAATAGTATAGTTGTGCAAAAGCGACGAGTTCGAGTTCGAGTTCGATTGCGAATGTGTGCGTGCGGTGTGGTGGTGTGGGTGTGGGTGCCTGGAGGTATCTTCCTCTCCTTTCATCCATCTGTGGAAGAGGCCTGTACAGAAACAAGGATCAGCGGATCCTGTGCCGATGGCATCGACAGCAGAGCCTTCAATCTGTAAATGGAAAAGTAGAGGATTAATTCAATCCAATTCAAATCCTAATTAGGTCCCGACTCACACCAAGGTAGAGGCTGCTTATAGTTCGCTTCTTGGTTTATCTGCCCAATGAAGCTCTTGTCCAGGATGCCATCCCCTGTGCCTTCGGCCGGTTCCATCCTGCAATAGTATAGTTGTGCAAAAGCGTTGACGAGTTCGAGTTCGATTGCGAATGTGTGCGTGCGGTGTGGTGGTGTGGGTGTGGGTGCCTGGAGGTATCTTCCTCTCCTTTCATCCATCTGTGGAACAGGCCTGTACAGAAACAAGGATCAGCGGATCCTGTATCCTACAGGGGAGGCAGGAGAAAACCGAAAGATTAAAATCGTTGAAGAGCCTCGGCTGAGTTTTTGCTTTTTCCGCGTACTTATTTTGAGAATCATTTTTAGTGTAATTTAGTTTATTTTTGTTTGATTATTTTTTTTTTTAATAGTCCGGAAATTATTTTTCACTTTTTTAAAATTTGTTTGATTTAATTTTTTTCACTAAACAGAACAGAAAACAGAACACTGGAAATTTTGATGCTCCCCAGTCCAGGCCTGGGGACCGAATGAATATTTCCCAAAATATTTTCCCTACCAAATTTTGTCTATGCTTTTGTTCGATTCCACAGCCTACTATATGAACATGTCTCAGTTGTCGCAGTTGGAGATCGAAGTTGGCGAAGCGAATCGAATCGAATCGATAAAAGATTAGTGCTAATCGCTGGAAATTGTTGAAGGCTCCACAGAATGCGGTTAGTTAAATACTCCCGACTGTTGCCGTTTCTGCGAGTAACCCTAGTGCCCTCTCGATTCCATGGTGGAATCCTGCCCCTGGCCTCTCCTACCTCTTACCTCTTACCTCTTTCTACTGAAATAGGAGTACTCTCTGATGTCCAAATGGTCCAGCGTCTCCCTCTCGCTGTTAGTTTCGCACTGTCTCTGTCCGAAGGGCTCTCTACTCTCAGGCTTTCTCTTTCGCACTGGGGTGCATATGCATATGAGTATTAGAGGTGGAGTCACGAGGCGACACGGCACAGCACGACATGGCACGACATGGCACGATGTGTGTTTGAAGGGCACGATATCTGACAGATTAAATACCGATTATCGAAGAACTGATTCCGATCCACTCTTTAAAGATTACAAAAAATGCAATCGTGTGGGAGAACTCTCGTCTCAAGCGCTCAGCCTTCTGCTGTTGTCACACGGGCCACTTGATGGGGCAGTAGTTGCACCGCCTTTTGAAAGATGCAGTCGTTGCATGCCAACCTCCAAAGGGGTAAAGAATGATAGAATCGTGTTGGATTGTCTCTGTTAGGAATGCCAATATTCCATTGGTATGGTATCCTGCGTCGCGATAATTCGGATACACGATACCATCTCTAGCGTTTCTCTCTCTTTCCCCCGCACAATAATTAATGTAATTTTATCTTTTGACTTTTGTTTTGCGTAAACAGCAGGCTTGGGAGGCTTTGGAGGCTTGGGAGGCATACGGATACCCCTCCTCATGCCGAAGTGAACAAATCTTTTTTGTTCACTCACTCATGAGCAATGCAACACTAGCTTGTAGTCAAAGCCCATGGGTCCACCTCACCCATCCAGAGATCAAACAAATTTCTGTGAACACCGGCGCGGTGAGCATACCCCGGCCATAGCGCCAAATTTAACCTTTCCTAAATAACAAATAAACTCATCTAAGCGACTTTAAACGATTATTGGCACGCTCTGCTGGGCGTTCGGCTCGTTCTCTTTTTCTGCTGCTGTCTCTCCTGTAGTCTCAGCTGCTGGCTTTAAGTCGCTCGCCTATCTTTGTGGCTTCCGTTCTCGCTTTCTGTTGCTCAGCTCTCTGCGTGGCTCTTGCTCTTGCTTTGTTTCCCCTTCGCGGGTGTGGGAGAGCTCCTTGGCTCTCTCCGCTTCTGTTTCCCCTCCGTGTAGCGTGGTGGTTCATTCACGAGAACGTTGGTTTGCTTGGTGATGCTCCTCGTTGTGTCCGCGGAATCTCGTTCCGGTGCTACCTCCCTATTAATTTAAATGAAAGCTCGCCGTTGGGTTCTTTCCGTAAGTCTATGGATTATTATAATGGGGGTTTCTGTACAGGACTTAGAGCTAACAAGGGCCAAGCTTCCTACGGATTATTATAACAAAATCAGGGCCCTTCGAGCCGTCCCTCCTGGGAAAAAGAAGAAAAACATAAACTATGAAACTTAACGTTGGACAACTTCTTGATCTGCTGTTGTTTTGTGAAGGGGATAGCCCGCGTCCTACATTCCCTTTTTACTGCTGGGGAGGACGCGACGAAATGCTGACGCCCTTTCGGCTGTGGGTGACCCGAAATTGCTGGCCTTCGGGGGTCTCCAGCGTCTTGGTTCGGGATCCTGGTTCCCTCATTGCGAGCTCTCGAGCCCGAATTCTCTCGAGCAGGCTGGTGGGTATGCGACGATCCGCGGTATCGACGCGCCACCCCTCTGTTGCGATTGGCCAGACCTGCTTCTACTTGACATCGTGCAGTTCAGGCACCTCTCGGAAGGGTACCAATAATTCGCCCACGTCGCCTTGCGCCAGGTCCATGAAGACGTCGTTTACCTCTTCCAAGGAGTCCAGGTCGGCTGGGTAAGTGTCGCTGTTTTCCTTGTCGGCCGACTGTTGATCTGGTAGCCCCTGGGCCTACAAGCTCGGCGCCTGCGGGTTCTCTCCCACTATTTCGTCCTCGGGTACCGGGGGGTCCTCTCCCTCCTCGAAGCCAGCACCTTGCCCCCCTCGCCGATCTCCTCCAAGACCGGGGATCGTTTGCGGGGTGATTGCGCCGCGGCTATCGGGGAGATGCTGCCGGCTGAGGTGGAGCCGACGTTCTCAACGCCGGATTCTGGCGGGACCACTTTCCGGACCCTCAACCAGCGCGAGTACGCGTTGTAGCCGAAATTTTCCTCGAGCTCGTCGCTTTCATCCTCGCCCAGCTTCCGGGGCTTTCCGTCATCGCTGCTGCTCTCGGTCTCCTCTTGCGTGGCCGTGTCGGGCATGGCTAAATGTTCTATCTAGCTAGTAATATTCCACGGAATATAAAAATCGAGGAATATGTAAAATAGAACTTGAATTCGTCAGTATATTTACGGTATATTTTTGAAGGTCGGACGGTATATTTTAACGATAAATCCGCGGTCTCACTGGTGACACTCAAAGGGCACACATTCCGTTAACTGTTTTCCGAAACTATTTTTGAAAAACATTAAATATTTTAATGATTAATTAAACCTTAATAATCGACGAATATATGAAAAACCTTGTGTTTTTTTTGGTAACAAAAACAATACTGTCTTCAGCGTTTTTTTTATTGTAAACTTATCGTAAGCGTCTCGTGCCAGGGTTTTTGTTGGTCAATTGGAATTAAAAAACATTAACAATTTCATAAATTAAATGTACGGGGAATCATTTTCTTGTCGTTCAGTTCAGCCTTTGGCCGTGCTCGGCCTTCCCTCTTCCTCCGCCTGCTTTGTGGCAGCAGGCTCCTCCACGGCATGCTGCTCCTGCTGGTCTTGGATGTCGCGTCGCTCCTGCTGGCGCACCAGTGCGTAGTAGAGGCCCCGTTTGGCCATCAGCTCGCCATGCCTGCCCGACTGTGAGGAGAGGAGAGGGTATCAAAAGGGGTATCCAGCTATTGATAATGTCGTTGGACTCACCTCCACAATGTGTCCCTGGTCGAGGACCACAATTAGATCCGCATTCCTGATGGTGGAAAGACGGTGGGCTATCACCAGAGTGGTGCGGTTCTGCACGGCCGTGTCGAGGGCCTTCTGCACTTCCGCCTCGCTGGTGGCGTCCAAAGCACTCGTCGCCTCATCCAGTATAAGGACTCGCGGATTCTTGAGCAGGGCCCGGGCAATGGCGATGCGTTGCCGCTGTCCACCGCTCAGCTGGGTTCCGCGCTCGCCCACATGCGTGCTATAGCCGTCCGGCAGAGCCGTCACAAAGTCATGCGATTGCGACAGCTTGGACGCCTCGAAGACATCCTGCTCGCCGGACTCCGGCTTCCCGTAGCGGATATTCTCGAGGATAGAGGTACCAAACAGTATTGGCTGCTGTTCGATGAACCCCAGAACGTTGGCCCGCAGCCAGTAGGGCGATATGTCCGACAGCTTGTACCCGTCCAGCTTGATGTTGCCGGAGGTCGGCTCGTAGAAGCGCTCTACCAGAGCGGCTATCGTTGATTTGCCCGATCCACTGGCCCCCACCAGGGCCACCGTCTGGCCGGGGCGCAGCGTCAATGTGAAGTCCTTGAGTACAATCTGATGGAGAGTTAAAGAATTAATTCATTTTGGGTTTTAACTGAATTGTATATATAATTGGATGGGACAGATACTCACATGGTCTGGCCTCATGGGGTAGGCAAAGGAGACGTTCTCGAACCGTATCTCTCCATGGAGTCGCTCCTGGGGTATGACATAGCCACGCAGCAGGTCCACCTCCGGCTCCAGCGAGAGGAACTCGAACACCCGGCTGCCGGCGGTCATGCCGCGGATCATGGTGCCCAGGAGTATGGATCCCTGCGACAGGGATCGCTGGACGCCCTGTGAGGCCACGAGGAAGGCCATCAGGGCACCGGGCGTGAGGCTCTCGGTGGACATCAGGTGGCCGCCCATGAACAGGGTGGACAGCACTAGGGTGTTCAGGAAGAAGTTGGTTAGGCCTTGGAAGACGGCAATTCCATAGCCCAGCTCCTGCGCGAGGCGGGCGGCCTTGTTCGTCTCCGCCTCGAAGAGCTGCATTTCGCTGTACTCGCAAGCACTGGAGCGGACCGTCCGAATGTTGGAGAGGGCCTCCTCGCAGACGCCTGTTGCCCGCTCCGCCTGGGCCTGTGAGCTCTTACTGAGGGAGCGCAGCTGGCGGCCCAGATAGGACATGAACATGACCACGCATGGGACGCTGGCCAGGGCGATGGCGGCCATGTGGGGCGAGATGAGGAACAGGGAGATGCTGCCGCCGATCAGCTGGGCTGAGCTGCGGAGTCCCTGGGCAATGAATTGCTTGAAGGAGGTCTTGAAGTCCTGCACGTCGGCGGTGAGCCGATTGACCAGCTCCCCCGTGCGGTTCTCGTCAAAGAAGGCAATATCCTGCAGCACGATCTGCTTGAACAGATCCTGGCGCATCCTGGCCGCCACCTGCTCCCCCACACGGCTCAACAGGTAGATGTACACAAACGTGAACCCCGACTGGAGCATGTACAAGCTGAGCAAATTGGTCGCCGGCTTGCTCACGTCCCGCACAAACGAGTTGTGGATGGGGTCCATCACATAGGTGTTGCCATAGCGAGCCAGCGTGTTCACCAGATCGCCCAGGATATTAGGTATGCGTATGTTGATAAAGGCCACTATGAGGGCTGCCTGGACATGGGAATATAATTGGAGTGAACAACGTTGGGCACACCTGGAACTGGAGCACTACACTACTCACGACTATTGCGCCGATCAGCTCCCACAGATGTGGCTCCAGGTACGACCAGAGGCGCTGCCAGTCAAACTTGTGGTCCTCTTCCTCCTCCGACGTCAGGGTGTGCTGCATCATTCCCGCCAGGCGGCTGCCCTCGCAGTGTACGGACAACCGCCCTGCCCCCCACCAGCTGCGTGCCCCTAGGCCCAGGGCAAGGCTGCTACCGCCAAATAGAAGGGCGCGTGTGGTCTGTAGCAGGCGGCTGACGTTAGTTGTGCTCGGAGGAGGCGTTGGCCGGACGTCCTTTCTGATTTGCTGTCGCAGGAGGCGTGTGGCATTCTGGAGGCGGGTGCTCAGCTCCCGCCGGGACAGTGGTAGTGGCAGTGGCAGGTGTGGCAGCAGGTGGCATCGACTGTAAACAATAATCAATAATAGCGAAAGATAAAAGCTGATTATGATGACATAAGGGGCTGGCTCGAGCACGCACGAGGCAACCTTTGGACAGGCGCTCTACTCTATTGCAGTCATGGCGGGTGACGCCATTTACCTGAGCGGGTCACTGCGGCGGCTGCAGTTGGATACGAGTAAGCGTAGCATCTGGTGGCCTCGGTTCGTCTCTCGCTTCACTTATAGATGCAACAAACAAAATAATACCACCTGTGCATCGATAGCGATTCAGATCGTACCTTGAGCAGTGTGACTGGCCCTCAGAAATATACCAAAATATACCGTCTCATTTTCAAAATATACCGTAAATATAATGACGAATTGTTCAAGTTAAATTGTACAAGATTGGTTAGTTTTTAGTCCTTGCTTTTATTGAATTTTTTCCAAAACAAGGTTTAAACAAATAAAGTCAAAGAACGGCATGAAACGTAAGTGTGTATGGAATGTTACCTCATTATTGCTGGTCAACAGGTATCAAATCTGTTATGAGTATGGGTCATTTGTATACCCTATTTCTGTTTTCCAAGCTGCTTTAGAAAGTAACTAATAATGACTTTTTCTTGGATGGAAAGGTTTTTGACCTATTCATGCATATGCTTCTTATATATATCGTATATATACCTCAATCCCGATACCTATTCTTGGTCTCTGCAAGAAGACGAGTAACTGCATACCTTTTAAACAGAGGCTGACTAGTTTCTGCATTTATTAAAGCCTGAAATGACAAAAATTTCCGCAATTATATAGTATCCTATTCCCTAGGGTGTGCAGAATGTTGCCAAAATTGCGGGTGTTTTCTCGGCACATGAGTCTGGCCCATACAAATTGAATTTTGCCAACGGTAAAACGGGCGCCGCCAGAGCGGTCACCATCAGTTCGGCTCCGGCCAGTGGAGTGGTAAGCATAGGCAGTAACCACCAACAGCTCCCGCCATCCTTACTTCCCTTTCGAAGTGTACCTCATCTTCCGCCACCCTCGCCTCTCGGAGCGCACTTACATCTCGGCAACCAAATCTTCTCCTCGAAGCGCACTTAAACCTCCGCAACCAAATCTTTTCCACTTGCTGCCCAGGTGGACCGATTTCTTGAACTCCGTGGCGTTGTGTTTGATTCCTTAGTAGACGAAGCCTGCGTTCGGGATGAAGCGGTGCGTCACCCAACCTGGGTAGTCACCATCATCCCATCTGCGATGCCACTCGTACAACAGGCCTTCGGCTAGTCTTGCCATCTACTGCTTCCAGCTAAGATTTTCGAAATCTCTGTGGGTGGACCTTCCACTTTAGGTAGTATTCGGTGCGTCTGTTCACCAATTGGCGGCATTCAAAATTCTAAATGTAGATTTCTCATGTATTTAATTTATTATTATTTATTAATTAATTATGGCAGGAAGCGGCCGCGACAGAAAGTCCGGATGTGTTGCAGCTCCAGAATATGAAAAACACGTACATTTCCCGGTGGGTTCACCTGGTCAATGATTGGGAAATGCAGGTTCATCATCACCAAATGTCAGTAAATAAATTAAAAGTAAATAATTTAAAAGTATGTAATGAGACTCATTGTTGTCAACCGGTTAAAGGAGGTCCTTACCCGATACAGGTTCGGTTATCGATACTATTGACTGGATACGAGATGTGCGCGCCAAATAGAAATTGTTTGAAAGTGAAAAGGATTTAAAGACAATCTATTTGAATAAATGATGACACGTGATGGACACATGAGTACGACTTTCGAGCGAAAATTAAAAAAAAAAAAAACAGCGTATTAATGTTTCTATACCCTTAGTTCTTTAATGTACCTTTAAAAATTACTTACATCACTGATGAAACTCGTGACATTAAAAATATTTCGTTACTCTATAGCGTCTTCTCACAACCGTGCGTTTCCCATCGATATCAATATCGAACGTCATGACGTAAATAGGCATTTAAATTGGCAGATGAAGGTTGTGCGTCTGGAGAATAGCTGATTGATTTGTTTGATGACCAGGGAAGGAACCAAATTTCGAATATATAAATATTATGAAAGATAATTGATGCTCATATTTATATATTATTTTCAGCTGTAGAGCCATGAGAACTTTCGATGTTCTTCTTCCATATATCAAGCAGTGTCGTTACGGCCTAACGGCTTCACTAAAATGACTAATCACTAATGACACTATCTGTTTTAAGGATTATATATATAATTGAACCTTTTCCCTCAGCAATAACTTTAACGCGTCGAAATATAATTTTTTACTGGGTGCTGCATATGGGAAGAAAATGCAAGAGGAATCGAATATTTCAAATATACGCACCTGCCGTCGAAAAAGACGGTTCTTTTGGCCATCCCTATGCGTATGCCATGAAAAAAAAAACTGCGTCTCCGACAAGACGCAAAAACGCATGATATATCCCTAGTGTAAACAGCCCATTAGAAATATATCGGGACTTGTGTACTGAGTTTGAGCAGTGTACCATCTCTATCTGTCATCACTAGTTTCATTTTTGGTTTGTTTTTTTGTTTTTCTTGTTTGTGTCGATTATATTATTATAAATTATAGCCCAAGCCCTCAAACTCCCCCACCAACGCGCGCGGCAGCAAACCTACAATGTTAACTGGATTCCAGGATTCAAATCAAAGCCGAGGCAATCAACTAAACGAAGAATACCAACAAATGTGAAATGTGCGTAAATACACAGCAGAACCAATACATACGAACAATTATGTAAGGTGTGTGTGTGAGACTGTATATATTATTAGAAACAATAGACGCTCATGCTAGCAAAAGTTGTTTAAAACAACAACAAAAAAAGAAGATGAAGCATTAGTATTGTTCCATGGCTAAGTTCGCTGTGCTATTGTGTTGTTCCCGTTCCCCCACACACATTTTCTATCACTTGTGTGCAGCACCTGTACACGTGCATGTGTATGTGTGGTAATGACTTTGCACAGTGGAATGCATGGCTTTTCCAATTGGCCTGCACACAAAACACACACACACAAAAATATACTAATTCGAGCGATCAAGTGGCTGCCCTTATATTAATCAATCAAGTGATGTGTGAAATAAATTACTAAGCCCAAGTATACATACATGTGTCGGGATTGAGCAGCAAAGAAGTTAAATATTTACTGTTACCCCCACCAGTAATCTACAAATCTACAATAGTTTTCATCTGGATTAGGCATTAATTACCTGTGACTGACTACGAGTGGCTACCAATGCCAGTATATACATGTATGTATTTATGCACACACTCGATTCCACAGAGACACTATTACCAGTATTTCAACCACTGTGCGTTCGTTGTTTGTGCTTTTCAATTTTGTATTTAGAGGCGCATTCGTCATTTTCCTCGAGTTGGGGACGAAAACGAGATAGCAATATGCACACAACAACTACAGTTACCTTGCGGCAGCACACAGCTGTAAAGTGTTGTGCCATTTTAAATGCAGAATGCAGTCATTCGTATAGGCGTACCAACACATACATACATAAATATGCAAATGTTGAAATGCGGTAAAATGTTGCATCAACATACACATTCATGAATTTTCACGGTCAATGTTGCCCACCACCCCGAAGAAAAAAAACCTAGAATTTATTGTGTCTCTCCTTCACTCACTGTATGTCTCTTTCTATTGCAGTGCTAACGTAATCGGGCGCAAGAAGATACATAACATTCCACATTCCATGCATCAGCAGCAGCACCAGCGCCACCGAGGGGGCAATGGTGCATCAGCCCGCGAAGCAGGCGCAGGAGCAGGAGGATCAGCAATGTCACAGTGCGGCCACTGTCACGACCAGCTGCTGCCCCACCAGGATGAGGCACCGATTGTGATGGCCCTCGGGCAGCAGTGGCACTGCGACTGCTTTCGCTGTTCCGTGTGCGACAGCCACCTGCACAACTGGTACTTTGAGCGCGAGGGTCTACTATACTGTCGCGAGGACTACTACGCGCGATTTGGGGATGCCTGCCAGCAGTGCACGGCAGTGATAACCGGACCCGTTATGGTCGCTGGCGAGCACAAATTCCATCCGGAGTGCTTCTGCTGTACGGCCTGCGGCTCCTTTATCGGCGAGGGCGAGTCCTATGCACTGGTGGAACGATCGAAGCTCTACTGCGGCCACTGTTACGGGAAGAGATCGTGCCAGCCGATGCCGGCGGATGCCAAGGCACGGATAACGACAGCCGGCAAGCCGATGCATTCCATACGCCTTGTCGAGATACCCAAGGATGCCACGCCCGGACTCCGTGTGGATGGCGTGTCCCTGGACGATGGCTGTCCCTCCGTTCGGATTACAGAGTAAGGTTTCTCCCTCACTCCATTCGTAAATCCTAGCCCATCCGCCTTTATTAATCCTTGATCTGGTTCTGTGGCTCCTCTGTCTCTGTCTCTTTCTAACTTTCATCTGTCCATCTCTATCTAACACATGCTTGGACATGACGACAAAAAGTTTAATTTGTAATTTTTACGGCCGCATGGGCGAGCACGCCTTCGCGTGGCTAAGCTCCGTGGCGGATCATTGCTGCGGTGCAATCTATAGGTAAAATCTATAGGCCCATGCCCATCACCCCCATCACCCTATACGATCACCCCCCCTCTAACCCCCCCTGTCGTCTCTTTATCCCCAAGGATCGATGTGAATCTGACGAATCTGCATATTGGGGACCGCATCCTGGAGGTGAATGGAACGCCGGTGAGCGACTCTTCGGTGGAGCAGATCGACAAGCTGATCCGGAGCAACGAAAAGATGCTCCAGCTCACGGTGGAGCATGATCCGGTGCAGGTGTGCCGATCCTGCAGCCAGGCGGATATACAGAGAGCCTGCTCCGCCTCCACACTGGTCCTGCCGCTCAGTACATCGGCCTCCAGCGTAGAGGTGGGCGGGCGAGAGCGAGAGCGTCTCTACAAATCATCTGGGACTGGGGCCGAGCAGAGCGCCAAGGCAAGGAAACTGCGCCAGGCCACAAATGCCACTTCCTCGACAACGATAACGAAACCAGCAGCAGCCGCGCCAGCAGCAGTGCCAGCAGCAGAGGCCGAAGCAGCAACGGCAACGGCACACATTACGCAATTCAAGGATAAGGAGCGCTGCTCGAGCATGTCCAAGCTGCTGGATGACCAGCATACGGCCCAACAGCACTCGGCCCATCCGCAGCTGTACGACCTGTCGCGCACGCAGAGCTGCCGCGTCGTGCAGAAGCCGCAGCGCATTTTCCGTGCCTCGGATCTGGTCATAGGCGAGAAGCTGGGCGAGGGTTTCTTCGGGAAGGTGTTCAAGGTGACACACCGCCTCAGCGGCGAAGTGATGGTCCTCAAGGAGCTGCACCGCGCCGACGAGGAGGCACAGCGCAACTTCATCAAGGAGGTGGCCGTGCTCCGGCTGCTGGACCACCAGCATGTGCTCAAGTTTATCGGCGTACTGTACAAGGACAAGAAGCTGCACATGGTCACCGAGTACGTGGCCGGGGGGTGCCTCAAGGAGCTCATACACGACTCCAGCGAGTCCCTCAGCTGGCCGCAGCGCGTCTGCCTTGCACGGGACATTGCCTGCGGAATGAGTTACCTCCATTCGATGAACATCATACACCGGGACCTCAACTCGATGAACTGCCTGGTGCGCGAGGATCGTTCTGTGATTGTGGCCGACTTTGGTCTCGCCCGAAGCGTGGATGCACCGCGGTTGCCACACGGTGGCCCATCTGTAACTACTGCTGCTACTGCTGGAGGAGCTGTAACTGGCAGCGATGCCATGTCGCCAAGCAGCACTCTGAGGCGAAGCAAGAGCCGACAGCGAAGGCAACGCTACACGGTGGTGGGCAATCCCTATTGGATGGCCCCGGAGATGATGAAGGGCCTCAAGTACGACGAGAAGGTGGATGTATTCTCCTTTGGCATAATGCTCTGTGAGGTAAGAAGATCCCGAAGGTCCCCCTTGGAGAGAATACTATTCTATTCTATTTCATTCTGTTCTATTTTTGATAATATCGTCCTTTTGCAGATCATTGGACGCGTGGAAGCGGATCCCGATTTCATGCCCAGGAACTCAGACTTCAGCCTCAATCAGCAGGAGTTCCGCGAGAAGTTCTGCTCTAGCTGTCCGGAGGCCTTTATCAAGGTGGCGTTCGTCTGCTGCGATCTCAATCCGGACATGCGACCCAGCTTCGAGACTCTGCACGTGTGGCTGGAGCAGCTGCGCCACCATTTGACCACCGAGCGACTGCCGCCCGTCCGCCTGCTGCACGAGATCGAGAACTTTCACGAGAACTACCTCAGCTCGGAGGATGCCCTGTCGCCCACCTCCCAGCGCAGTCTGGACAATCTCGATGTGGTCGCTAAGGCGGCCAAGACTCCAGACATCGATGCGGACGTAGAGGATTCTTCGCCCTCGAATCAGGAGAAGGAAAAAGAGAATCTGTTGATCCGTTCGCCGGAGATACCCAAGTCCCCGCATCTGGGAAAGGATTTCTCACCAAGCGGCGAGCGGCTGCGGGACAGCATGCGTGCCCGTCGTCGGCAGCGCTTCCTGGGCGCCCAGGAGGAGCGGCGCAATGTCACCCCGGAGACCCATTCGACGGAGCGGGTCCTCAAGCAGGCCCTGAAGAAGTGCCGGCCCTTCGGGGAGAAGGGCTACCTCGTCGATCTGCGTCCCGGCGCGGAGCTGCAGTTGCACGACGTGCGCGACCTAAACAACTACTCTGATGTGGACTCCAGTTGCGACACGAGTCTCAATTACCACGAGGTGAATGCTCCCACTCCCACACTGCCAGAGATCCCGCCCAAGGAGTCAGAAACTGCGGTGCCCCCGCCACAAGCCTCAGCCCCAGAGTCTGGACCTCTCATGGCCGTCGATGATATGCGGACGCGACTGCACCAGCGCCTCAGCAAGTTCGAACACCTGGAGGAAGCGAGCCATCGCAATAAAAGTTCATCGCAGAACTCCGTGCGCAACTTTTTCAAGACACCGCCGGTGGCCCTGAAGATGTTCCAGAGGCTGGAGCATGAGGCGGCCGCCGCCGGCCTCAACGGCAACTGTCCCCCGCCGCCGCCACGCACCCAGCGCATTAATCAGACGCCCATCTTTGGGCGCCGTAATCCAACGCCAGCGACACAGCAGCAGCTCCAGCAAGCCGAATCTCTCGAAAATCTGGCCACGAGCACGACCGGACATAGCAAGCAGACGCCAACAACGGCACCCAAACGGAGCAAGGCCACTAACAGCAGTAGCGCCGTCGAAGTGCACGGCCTCTCGGCTGAAGCTTCGTCCAGATCTCCGGCTTTCATCCTTCCGAATTTCAGTGGCAACAGTCCTGGAACAGGAACAGCCACTGCTCCTCGGGATTGCCTGCCCAAGAAACACAAACTGACGCTCCCCCTGGTCCCCATGGTCCCCCTGCTGGCCCAACGGTCCAACGGCAGCCAGCGCCTGCCTATGGGCAGCCACAAGACGAAGCCGCCCAAAGGTCCCTTCAGTCGTTCGCATGCACAGCCGCCACACACGACGCCCCCCAGCCATAGCAATGCGTCGCCCACTCGGCCCCGGCCTGGATCACCCAGCAAGCATTTGGCCCAGAGGCACACGGCGGCCACGGCCCAGCGCCTGAGCAACGGTATGACCAGATATTGAAGATTGAGCAACTTTCTCTTTCTGTCTCTCTCTCTCTCTCTCTCGATACCACCCAGAAGGAAGCGTTTATATTAGTATATATAGTATATTAGTTCTTGATCAGCAACAATAGCCGAGGCAATATAGCCATGTCTGTCTGTCCGTCCTCAGGGGCTAGAGCAACCTCATTTTCTGTTCAGACTCTTGGGATACACGCGAGATGTAACGGCTACTGTTCTAGTGAGAAGAGAGCGAGACGTATAAAATAGGTCATTAGGTGGAAAGAGCATAAACGAAGTGCAAGAATTAACATTATAACTATTATTTTTCCACCTCTCATGACTAGTTCGAGCAAAGTGGAGATAGTGATGGGGAAAAAACAGAAAGAGAGAGCATGCGGCAGTCGTCGGCTTTGATACGATCTCCGGCGCTTACGTATATTTGCGTTGTCCGTTCGCTTATTGGAAACAAGCTCTTATTCAATCTTTTGCATATCTTTCTGTTCCTTCTCTGCAGTGGTTCCCGTCCATCAACAGCCACATCAGCAACAGCAATCGTCGAAGACGACCCGCCTGAATATCCTCAGTCCGGAGAAGGTGCATCGTCTGGGGGCACTGCTCAGCGACCAGAAGCAAAAAATGCGCGAGGAGGCAGCGACAACAGGCGCCGGTGCCGGCGCTGGAGGTGTAGCGCACGCATTGGCGGCAGTCAGCAATGGTCATGGCCGGTCCGGGTCGGCCGGCGCGGCAGGTGCAGGAGCCGCCGCCGTAGAGAGACGCAGGAGGGCACCGCCGCCACCGCCGGTGCGCAACCATTTCAATACGCGTTGCTAGCTGTCATACAGCTGTTATACTGGGAGAGGAAGGGGGTAAACTGTTATAGCTATGAAACTCCGGAAAGCTGTTATAAACAGTAAGGCGGAGTTTTACACAGTCACATATGTACATGGTCCAACACACAGTATAACACACAGTAGGCAACTGTTATACGCACAAGACGAACGAACACCAAACAACACATTCCAACAAAAAACAAAATCGACCATCAAAATTGAAGAAAAGTATCGACCAGCGAAAAGCGAAAAGCGAAAAGCGAAAAGATCGAGAGAGGAAGCTGGGGATTGCGTCTAACAGTTATGCTCAATCAAAACCGTCAACTGTTCTACCACTATGGATCCGAATCATAACGAAGGTTAAGTGCCTGCGCAAAAGCGAAACAAATTCATGTTGCAATATTTACAAATTTATCGTGTAATAAAATCAATTGTATAATGTTATATTTAGAATTGAATATAACGCCAAAAACAGAACAACTAATGCTAGTATTTAAGATTCGGTAACAGGCTCCTCCGACCCGACTGTTACTAACCGACTAACCCCGAACGAAACATGAAACAAAAGCCACTCATCTACTAAGTATAGTATAAACTGCTAAGCAATTACCATTGTACACGATTTAACCGGTTAGCGAGGAGAAGAGAAGAAACGTAAACTTGTGCCATGCCCAGTGATACAATATGATGGAATCCTGGGATCGAGCGGGATTTATGGAGAGAAGAAAACCCACCCCACAAAAGAGAAGAAAAAAGACATTAAGGAAATGAATTTTATTAGAAAATTTTGGTTAAAATGTGTATTTTTATATATATGTAATACAATATGATAATTCCATATAAAACTATATATGATATATGAATGTACATATGTATATGTGTGTGTACATATATGTATGTACTTGTATTCCATGTTAGTGCTTAAATCTAATTTAGTATTTATCGATCGATTCTCCATGAACAATAACTAATAGCATTTTTTATTGAGAAACAAAAGTCTAACTTAACTTACTATTGTGTACTATATGCGATATTTACTCTATGTACTACATATGTATGTATATATGTTTGTGCATACATATGTATGTATATGCGAAAACTTTTGCTCAAAGAATGCATCTCTAGATCTTAAGGCACACACACACAAACACGCAAATTGCTAACTGTTATACACCCACATAAGCACACTCCCATACGCAACACACAAAGAAACATATGTATATTACTTAATGCTGTTGAAGAAAGATAAAGAAACTTTTATACTGTACTTGAACTATACATTATAAAACGCTTGCAATTAATATATAGCTTCTTGCCATATAACACTCTTGTGTGTGTGTGTGTGTGTTTTGGTATACGGTATGACAGTATCACAGTACAATGATCGCTAATGTTTCAATTGCCATACAGACATACATAGAACACTAAAGTGATTGCAAGTGTGTGCTAAAACTGTTATACGATTGGTATACAGCCTAACAGTTGTAGCACACACTAAACAGAATGCCTTCTAACGTTCGTATTGCCATGTAACACTCAAGTGCGTGCACTGCAACTTTCATACAAGTGTTATACAGTATAAAAGTTGCTGCACACACACACGCACACTCGCGCCACTCAATGTTTGACTAAAAACTTTATCTAGTATTTAATGAAAATACAAAATATTTGTGGATATTTTTATATATTATATGGATGTATGTATGTACAAACGCAGTTGATAATTATTATGTTTAATTGTGGAAGAAAATGCAACGCCAGCACCCTCCACCACCCCCACAACATTCCAGCATTCCCTCCTCATTCGAATAAATTTTTTTTTTCTGTTATTAAAAAAAGGAAAAAATTGTAAACTTAATAAAAAAAAAGCAAATGCAGAAACGCACTTTATAATCGTTGAATAATTTATCCATTGCGTGGGTGCCTAAACAGATGGTGCATATGCACGTATGTATATACACGTAAGCACTGTGCCAGCATAGACTAGGGCCGCCTCGACAAAGAGATACCCTGGACTCCAGTGGGATACAGGGGCAAAGGCAGAGGGAGAGAAAGTTAGTTACATTTCGATGTACGACCGCGAAGGGTATACAAAAAACAGTTACTCATCACACAGGACCCCCGCAGCGCAGACGCATCCGCCTAGAACCCCAGCCTAGCCGTTATGCACTGCTACGAGCTCGTTACATGTAATGTGCGTCTGGCGTTACGCATTGCACCCTTCCAGATCGGATCATTAATATAGCCAGAAGGAACAAATCCATTTGCCGTGCCCATGCCCCGTGGTTTAGCTAAAGTCAGATACTTTATAATTTAATGGGTTCTGTGTGAGCTTTATGGATTAATAGTATCGGTAAATATTTAAAATACTTAATTGCACACTAAAGAAAATCAGAACCTATTTTTACAACCGTTTCCTTGCCTTACTTTCCGCAAAATGATCAATTATTTGGCTCAAATCTAAAGTAGATGCTGCTTTATTTTCTGTTGCTATTAGATATAGATAGATATCTGAGTCGATATTGGCTCATACTAATTCTTAAATAGTTTTTTATTATTTGTAATTAAGATTGTGCAGCTGTTACTGGAACTGTATGAAATAGTTACATTTCTCTCGTTATTTCCCTGCAAAGTTGGTTTAAAGTTCATGACTTTTTTATTTCCGGAAGAAGTAGGCTATAAATTTTAGGGAAATGTTGGAGACAATTGCATCCGAATATTTACTTTGAAATGCGTGTCACTTTTCCAACAACTTTTTTTGGTCAAGAAAGTTATGGCTTTAGAAAAATAAATATTTTTTGCACCTCCCTTAAACCAGTAAAACGTTTCTTTAATTAAATTATTATTGTGTTTAGTAAGTACTTTATAAAAATAGTAATTTTATACATTTGTTCCCGGTCATCAGACACTAACTATAACACTATCAGACACTAAATACTAACTAACTAATTAAACATTTTCTTTACTGTTCTTTTTCGCTTTGCTTTAAAAAATAGATCAGATCTATACCACATTAAATAGAGGTTTCCCTGGATTTGCACTACCAAGATTATGATACCAGATCCCAACGTTTAATTTCCGGAAAAAATTATAAAAATACATATGTCACGATTGCAATTCCACAGAAAGTTGATGGGAATATCCCTGTATGCATTAAAATTAGTTGTTGGAGATTTTTTCGCTAGTAGTAAAATTTAAGGTTTGCTGGTCAGAGTGCGGGACCCCTGGGATTGGTAGGCCACCACACTCGAGGGGTCTTTCCCTACGTAGCTACGCCCCCCTTCCGCGCGCTGACTCTCTCTCCTACTCACACACACACACACTCTTCCTCGTGCAGTGTTCGCCTTCGGGCGGAGGAGAGCGAAATATAATGGCCGGGTGTTGTTATAGCGAAACAAAAACCGTAGCGGAAACATCAAATGTTTTAAAATTCGAATTAAATAGGTCGTTCGAAATTGGAATACCCTCTGCAAAGGGTATCAAAAAAACGCAGCTACGCATCCGCCCACAACCCAAGTCGTTATAACCGTTACGAGGTCGAGACGTGTCGTGTGTATCTGGCTGCGTTACGCATTGCACTCTTCCAGGAAGCTTCTTGAAGCGCGCACACGCACAGAACACCCACGCAAATTCACTTGCGTAGGTACATGCATACATACACATAGGTATGGGCGGGTTGTACATACATATGTATGTATGTGAGTGGGGTGGTATATGTATGTACATGCCACACAGCACGGCAGGTTGTATCCATCCTGGAATTTGTCCCAGACCATGGTTCAAACGGATCGATAAAGGCCAGGCCAACAGCCCAGGACAATGCATACACACACACACACACACACACACACAAGCAGAGAGAGAGAGAGAGAGAGAGAGATTGGCACTGCTGCCAACGTTGTACAATGGAAATCAATGCAGTTCGTAAACATGCGCAATGGAGGAAAACACACATTTTAACTTCACTTCCTTTTTCCTGGCTCCATCATCCTCATATACAGCACAGAGCGTGGCGCAACGCTCCCAAAAGTTCTGCTCTGCTTTTAATTTCATTAACAGTGCCAAGTTCTGCTAAATCAGCTGTTTGCTGCGAGGGAGAGAGAGAGAGAGAGACGACAGCGCATGCATGCAATGACATATTCAAGGTCTACATTCGTGTATCGATACCAAAGAGTGGCGTGTCCCTTTAACAGCCTCCCCCCATCGTCCACCTTTCGCTTTGTCCATGTATACATACACAGAATATGAAAGCACATACATATACGTATACACACTTTGCCTGTATGTATCCCATGACACGAACGCACACCCACAAAAAACACCAACATGAAACGTGCCCCTTCGCTATTTTGTTGGAATTGAGTGCATCATTGGGAGCCCTGCCAAGCTCTTTTTATACCTAGTACTTTTGTAGTACAAAAGGCATATTACATTCTTCCTCTTTTCATATTACCTTGATCCCCATCAATAGCCGAGGTTTCATTGACACCTACATAGATCCAAAAATTACTGTGAATGCCATAGTTTTGAAGATAACATAAAGAAAATCAATGTTTCGTCTCTCGTTCCCATTGGAGCTAAAATTTACATTCATACATTTTTTTTTGTATATACATAAACTGAGTAATGGGTATCTTAATATCGAGGCAAACTTTCAGACTGTTTTTTTTTTGTTGCCTATGACGTGCTCGCACGTACGCAACGTTTTATCCAACCGCCTCCCCCGTCAGACCAACACTATGTACATACGTATGTATATGTGTACATATTACATGTATACAATCCACATCTAGGACCAAGAAGAGCGACTGTGACGTCAAAATACCTTTGAAAATACCGTTTCCAACGGCCAGCGATAATTCGAAAGCAGGATAACAGAAGTTGAACTAAAGCAAAAAGGGTATAGGTATAGGGTATAGGTTATTCAATAATCTTAAATCCATCCGCATCCATTGAGTGGGGAAAAGACGCACAAGTCAGAGTTAGATTATAATTGCGTTGGCTTAGTTCGACCGTGGTTTTGTATGGAAAAGGCACTCATACCAAAATCACGCTCAAACCATTGCCTCACACAAAAGAGCGAGAGAGAGAGATTATTTTTACATTCGAGAGAGTATCTCCCTTCGGTTATGTATGTTGCAGGGAATAAGGAGAACGAGGTAGAGCTTCGCAGCTTGCTAGTTGTACCCTGGAAAAACAGGATATCATAGGATTGGGATACCTTGTAACGCAAGTAGCAATTAGAGCAAGTAACATAGAGCATTGAAATTTCCATACTCCATATATATTTTGTATATTGTACATTTCCACAACAATCTCGGTATGTTGGGCAAAAGGGTGTGGAGAACCTTGCATGCGTTTTATATAGCTTGCCTGTCCCGTTGTGACTGTTGTCCATATATTCTTTTTCCTAAGCATTTAAGATTTATTGTCTTTTTATTTACTTTTTATTAATAAAATAAATGTTTTTATCGGTATATTTCGACTGTATATTTGGGTGCTCGAACTTCAGTATGAGCTCATACTTGCAACGCAAAAATAAGTCGGGAGAGCATAACACGGTTGATCGACTGCTAGACTATGGAAAGGTATGGACAACAGGCAAAAACAGCCAATTGAAATTGCAAGGCTCGTACGAACCACACCTCGCCGAGTTTGATCAATAATATGCTGTCCTCATGGTATGTAAGGCAGAAGGGTGTATTTTACCTTGCATACGTTGCCTTTTCTGGGAGGTTTTTCCTATTGTCCATACCCTCTTATTACACAGAAATTTCCTAACGGGGAAATTTTACAAGCTTCCTTCCATGGTATGTTGGTCAAAGGGGACTTTTAATCGCAACAATTGTCCTTTTTTCTTATGTTTTATGTTGCTGGCAACATTCAGGTTGTATGGACCAGACTTATGTGCCAAGAAAACGAGCAACATTGTCCCACAACATGGGCACGGAATGTACCCTACGATATTATAGAATTTTGTCATCCCAGGCTCCAAGAACGGCCTTGCAGCCCCAAAATTACAAATATAGAGTGGCTAAAATCAAAGTAAGCACTCGACAAGCGCGGTTGGTGAGCAAGCGCGTCGTCAAGAAAATAAATAAAATAAGTTGAAAAGTTGATAACGTACTAACGTATTTATTTCGTATCTTGTATTTGAGAAAAGCAAACGTTTGTTTTTTGCCGACCAACTCTCGCGAACATGACTGAACGTGCCGCCGCGGACGAGGAAACAACGGAAAAAATAGTGTCGCATGAATTCAGAAATGTTCATTGATATACCCCACAAAAATATCCAAACAAAATATCACCTACAAATATCAAGCAAATGTATATATCAACATTCGATGTATACCTACCGCGCACAACGCAACAACAGAAAATAACGCTCTTTTTAGCAATTGATTTTTTGTTGGAAAGAAATAAATAAAATAATTAATAAGTGCGTCAAGTTGAGTACGTTCTCCGGAATTTGGTTCGATTGGTTCCTCCACGTTTTTTGGCGTCGTCGGCTGTACGTGTCTATCTCTCTCTCTCTCTCTCTCTCTCTCCCTCTCTATCTGCCCTGCTCCGCATGCAAGCGCAACGAAACGAACAAGAAACAGAAAACGTAAACGCGTTCGTACACATCTGCATGTGCGCGACTGTGTTGGTGTATATGCGCGCGCGCGTTCATGTGTGTGTGTGTGTTAGTGCCGCAGCGCAATAGAAAAAATCAAATGAAAAAATGAGACAAGAGAAGAGAGCAGCCCGCAACCGAAGTCCCCCCAAAAGAATTGTTTTTCCATTATTTTTTCTGTGTGGTTCTAAATAAAATACACAACAATATAAACAAACAAAAAAAGCGTAAAAAGTTACTGAAAAACAACTGTAAAGTAATGGCCGTGTGTGTGATGGCCTGGCCCATGTACGTGTGCGTGTGCGAAAATCAATAACAAAAGGCAAAGCACGAAAACATACAAGAAACCAGTGAGTGAGCGGTGTGTGTGTGTGTGTGTGTTTGTGCGTTGGGGATAAAGGGGGATAAAATGAACAAGCAGCCGCCCGTGTGTCCAAGAGCAATGCGTCGCCGGTTCCAGTTCAAATCCGAATCCGAATCTTTGCAACGTCAATTTTTAAACATTCGCATTCGCATCGAAACCAATTGAGAGAACGCTAAACAAAAGAAAACGAAGCCAAAAGAAGGAGGATAGAACAGAACAGAACAACCCCAGAAGAAGAACAGTTAGTGAGAGGAGCAACAGCAGCAGCGACGCCAACGCCAACGCCGACGCCAAAAGTAGGGCGACTTGCGCGCGTAAATTTGGGTCGTCGACTGCAACTGCAGCAGCAGAAGCAGAAGCAGCAGAGGCAGCAGCAGCACAGCCCAGTGTGCATTCCATTGGCGGATTTCCAGTGTTCCATCGCATCGCCCCCGCAACGCAACGCAACGCAACCCCCTCCCTCCTCTCTTCAATCAAAATCATTGCAAAATGTCGCTGCAAACGAAACGACAGCACTGTTACCTATGTGACCTGCCCCGCATGCCCTGGGCTATGATCAATGACTTCACGGAGGCGGTGTGCCGCGGCTGCGTCAACTATGAGGGCGCCGACCGCATTGAGGTGGTGCTGGACGCCGCCCGCCAGATGAAGCGCCTCCATCCGAGCAGCAAGCGGGCGCACGAGAACGGCGAAGTGGTCGTCCTCCAGCAGCAACAACAGCAGGCAGTAGCTGGTCTCCAGCAGGTGCCAGGATCGCACCGTGGAGCGCCAAGCAGCAGTGCCGTAGGACCTGGTCCCTCCGGCGCCCCCGGTGGACCCCTCTCGCTGGGCAGCTCCACGGCACTGGGTGCAGTCGCCGCCGCTGCGGCAGCGGCCCACCATCATCATGCCGCCGTCGCGGCCGCCTACCAGATGCCCGTGCCACGGATCGGACCTCCGTCGCAGCAGACCACCAGCCTAATGGACTATCCAGTCAAGTTGGAGGCGTCGCCGCATGACGGGGCCGGCGGCGTTCGACCCGTTCGCATCTCCCACATGACGCCCCACCATATGCCGCCCAACTCGGCCCAGAGGGCCGCCTCCGTGGCTCAGCAGCAACAGCAGCAGCAGCAACAACAGCAACAACAACAGCAGCAACAGTCCGGTGGGGGCGGGGGCATGGCCGGCGGTGGAGCCGGCAGTGGACCCACGCTACCACCCGCCCTTTCCGTCAATCTGAAGCGCCCCTCCTCCGAGGATGTGGACGATCAGCAACAGCCGCATGGCCCCCACGCCGTGGTCCCATCGGATGCGGCTGGTCCACCCGGCGTCAAGAGAAGCGCCCTCGACGATCCCAACGGCGTGCGGCCGCCCCTCACACGCGGCGAATCACTGCCCGCCGCCGTCAGCTACGTACCGGAGCGGCAGCTCAATTTGCGGGACAAGCAGCAGCCGGTGCGGGCGCCCAGCTTCGATGCTTCGACCTTCAAAGCAGGCGGTGAGTAGCGTACCACAAAAACACAATCATATTCCAGTAGGAATGAATGTGCTCTCATTACGGCATAGATCGTGAGAGCTTGAGAGCCTGAGAGCCGGAGAGCCGCTTTGTGTGCATGCAGTCTTTGTGGGGAAGAGGAGAGGGCGATAAAGCAGGCATGAATACAGGCCAGAATGTTGAAGCGTGATTTCTGTTGCTGTAAGGTGGTGGGAGGCAGAGGGGCGCTTATCGCTTATCGGTGGGGGCTCCTTATCGCTGGATGGAACTTGATGAGGAACTAGGCTTAGGGCAGGGCTTCGGTGGCGGGTTGGCTTGGCTGCTGGGGAACGGTACGATGGGAAGGGGATGGGCATGGGTGAGCGGTGAGGCGGTAATCGGTAAGCGGTGTCGTTGCTAGTGGACTTGCCTGATAACCAGGTCCGGGGAGATAAGATAACGCTGGGGTACGTACCCAGGCAGGCAGGCCTCTTATCAATCCATCCAGTGTGTTTAACGTCTTATCAGGGCTCTGGCTCCGCTGCAGCGCGTATGTGTGAGTGTGTGTGTGTGTGTGTTGGAAGCGCAGGCAGCAGCTCTTCCAGGCTCTGGGCCACAACAACAGATGTGTGTATGTATCCAATACACCAATACACACACCCGCAGAGAAGCAAAAATGCAACCCTCGCCTGCCGAGGGGCTGCAAACCCTTGCCATTGGCATGCGCACTACATAATATGCACACACGTTCATGTACACGTACACGTACACGGACACGTACACGGACACGTACGTATTCGTATTCGTATTCGTCCGGCTCCCGCTACAGCGCTAACACACTAATACACGGCCATTGTCACATGCACGTACGTAATCGTAATCGCTCAAAAGGGCGGTCGACGCGACGCTACGCGCAGAATGTAATAAAAACAGAGACGTGCAAAAATCGTCGACGCTGACGTTGCCCCATGTAACTGTGTGTGACCCCCCTCTAACCACCCCGCCCCGCCATCACCATCCTCATCCCCATCAATCGGTCTTTCTCTGTCACTGCTGCTTCTTCCTCTTCTCACTTGCTGCCGCTGCTGACCGAAAACCCGTTTCGGCTGCTGGTTTCGCTGTCTTCTCTGTGTATCCGTATATATGTACGTGTGTATTAAATGTATGTATGTGTATATATTTGTTTTTTTTTTCCTTTTAGTGCGCGCGCAAAACGTCATTAAACTTGTTTTGGTTTTCATTTCTTCCTCTTCGTTTTCGTCTTCGTCTTGTTCGGCGTTTCTGTGCTGTTTTTACGCTATGTGCGATAACCGGAGTATAGATAAATTTTTTTTAGTTGGTATACGTACTATGGTACTCGGGAGGGGTGATGGTGGGGGATGGGAATACTGCAGTGACAGCGATCACTTAGTAGAAGAACAACAACTGAGAAAGATGAAGAAAGAGAGAAACGACAACAACAACAACACCAGGCCCGATGTCGTCATCTGCCCTACGCACAGTGGGGCCAAGCATTGAGAACAATAAAAAAATTATTTTAAGTAACAAAAAAGATTAGATATTCATTTAGATTTGTAAATCCTTACGCATAGCGGTACAAAATTGTTTGTCGATAATATTTTTGAATTTTTACTCGATTCATAAAAAAGTCTTGCAGCAAGCAGTGTGCCATTTCTTGGGTTTTCGTATTTGTATATATAATTTTTTTGCTTATTACGTATTTACGTTACACTTCTTTCTATGTGTGAGTGCGTCTGTGAGTTTCATGACCAAAATTCCCTATACGGCTATGTATACATATGTATATATGTATGTATAAATGTATGCATGTATACTAAAAATATATCAAAACAATTCCGCGGGTGTACATACAGGAAAAAACTTGTACAACGTGCGCGCGCTCGTTTCAAAGCTCCCTCCATTCCGCCACCCGCCCACGGGCTCTACCTCCTTTTCGTTTCGGGCTTCTTCGTTCGACTTCATCTTCATTCAGTGCTTTGTGTGTGTATGTATCCCATCCTAACGAGTGCGAGTGCGAGTGCGTCCAGTGTGTGTGTGTGTTTGTGTGTGTACTGACTGACCATTCCAATGAGTTCGCCAGGAATTTGTCTCTGCAAGGCAGTGTGTATGGTGGGTAGGGGGAGGGGGTATATGGGGGGAGAGGAATCGTAATTAGGCAGGCATGCAATGCGTATGCATGTATGTACATATACATTTGGATGTATGTACATATGTGTTCTTTCTCTCTTCTTTCAATAGCACCAGAATCTGTCTGTACAGTGGCGAGCGCAAGAGAGAGAGATGGCTAGATAGAGCTCAGAGTGGAGTGCACGGCCGCTGTTAACCGTTAAACACGTGAACAAGCCTGAGCCTGACGGGGCGGTACTGCTGCGCTGCGCTGCGCTGCTCCGCTCTACTCTGCCGCTGCTCTGTCGCAGCACCGCTGCGGCTGATAAGATGCATTATTTCAACTGTTGTTGCCGATGGCCCCGCACAGTGGCACCGCAGTCATGCGCCCTTGCATCGGCTTTCTGTGAATGAAAGCGACAATGATTTTTTTATTATACCTACTCGTACATTTTTATTTTTATATATGTATGTTTGTGCATGTGTACCATTCTCTCTGGGGAGAGTGTCAACCGAGTGGCACTTGGGCTGTTTTAGATAAGTAGCTTATCGGAGATGAGATTGCGCCATCGACCTTATCGTGCAATACATATGTACGTATGTATGTGAATGTGGATCTTATCATATCTCAGGGAGTCGACCATGTGGCTAGATAAGCCAAAAAAACTGTGCTCGATAAGGGGCCTAAACCCCATGACATGCGACCAGAAACCAGAGGCAAATATTCTAAAGAGCATGCGGTGCTCTCAGGGGACCGTACCGATACTGATATACTATCACTGGAGTTGATAACTAATCGATTATTGATCGATAAGTGGCCCAATAGAATTTTCCCCGATTTGTCAGCATTACCAGGCTATGCAGCCGCATTCTATTATACGGAAACGGGCTAACGAACAACAATTTCGATTTGATAATGGTAAAAATATATTGTTTCCATTGATTTATGGTTACGATTATATGGTAGAGCTTCTGTCTCTCCCGCAGACTCAAGTCGTGTCTGTCATTCTCCATCTCTACGATCTCTTTGTTGGATCCGTTGAACTTCTCTTGCCTTTGAACGACGGAAACCGAAGGATTAGTCCAGTAGTACAGGGTATATGTGTACACTCCACTACTCCATTCCACTTTCGTTTGCTTTCGGCCCGGTTCTATGCACACAGCTGTTTTATGTAGTATCTTATCGTGAAGTGGCCGGACTCTCCCAATCCACGTCTACGTCTACGTCCCCGTCCTCTGTTTTCCGTCCTCTACTATCTTATCACCCATGGCCAACTTTGACTGATAGCGAAACCCGGTACCGGGTCGTGTCTCTCCTCTCCGCCTCTCGTCGTCGTTGGTTTTGGTCTTTGATCACACCCTATGCGAGAGAGAGACATTTGTTTATTTTCCATTAGATCTCCGTCTTTACTGTATATGATTCCTTTGCGTTGCATAAATATTTGCTCTCAAATCGATTCGAGGAGCCACTGAAGGTTGAGACTGTGCCTGTTGAAGGGGTTTGGTACTAGGCGAGAGGAAACCAAACCAATCGATGAATCCACTCAAAAATAATCCTTGGGACAACCTTCTACTCCCGTAGCGCTTATGCGGGTGTTCGATCCCAATATTGAATAAAGTATAGCTACAAATGAAACGGATTGTGATTTCTACGGGAAATTCTACTCATAAACAATATTCTCATTCTCCCATAGGAATCTCCTATCAAAACACAGAAAAATAACTCTTGGGGGTTGAGGTGGGGGTGGAAGGAAGGCAGAGATCGGGGGGAATGTGTGATGATGAGGTGTCTTCATTCATACAATGCAAATAGTTTATTTCTTTTACATACAATACATACTTAACAGATTATACACAATATGGTTTCTTTTTATTCCCATACGAATATGTATAAATATTGAATTTTGTTTATGATGTGTGGCCCCGATTCTCCCCCATAACTGTATCTGCATCTGTAATCCGTAATCCGTAATCCGTAGTCCAAGTTTAAATTGTGAATCATTGCTGGGGCTGCTGGGGTGTAGTGCGAATTTGTCGATCGCGGGAATATGGTTCCATAGGCAGGCAAAATGTGTGCGTGTGCGTGTGCGTGTGTGTGTGTCGGTTCGAGTAGAAAACTAAAACGAATCTATAAATAGAAATCATATTCGATACGGAGAACTGGGATCGCGAAAATGTCTGTTGTTTGTTCTATGAAAAATGCATAGACCTAGGCATTGGCATGGGAATGGGAATGGGGTGTGTGGAGTGTGTGGGATTTGGGGCAACTGGGATTCTAAATGTTGGAGGGGTATCAACACTTTTAGAAATAGATGAGACACAACCAGACGCGGTCGAAAGTGAAACGTGCTTTTTATCCAAACATTGCGTTCCAATTGGATGCGGCCCACTGTGCCGCCGCTCGGCCCGGCTTCATTCTCGAAACTGTATGTAACATGCGCAGGCATGTTGTCCCTCTCGGGCGTGCACTCCACTGTCTGCACATTCTTCTTCTCAATGGGCCATGTGCTGTTCTGCTATTCTTCTCTGCTCTCTTCTCTTCCATTCTCTTCATTCTGCCTTGCAAGGAGTTTGTAGCTGCGTGCGTGCGTGCGGGCGAAAGAGATGGATTTGAGCGAGATAGGAAGCTCCGTTGCATTGCTCTCGCTGGCATTTATGGCTGCAGTTGTTGCCTTTTCACTCTCTCGCATGCAAAATATAAACAAATGCTATAAATATACACACAAACGCACACACACGATCTGCTATGTGCTGGTGCGTATATGTTGGGGCCACACAACATGCACGACGACAATGGGCGACACCCCGAAATTGGCCATGTCGACGACGTCTCTCCCCTGCCAATTGCTGTAGCCATGTAGCAGCCGCTGCCGCGTAAGCAGTTTAGCCATAGAGCAACAGCTTTTTATGTTTCTTCGTTGATTTCTTCAAATAAATAATTATAACAGCACTCGCAATGCTCGCACTCGAGTGGCCATTTCGCTGGCCATTTCGTATGCAGCCCACTGTGCGGCTGCCGGCCTGGCGGCTCCAACTGACAGCGTCGTCGACATTTGAGCAATGTGCTCGTGCCCGTTGGGCATACAAATTAAAGAGCGCTGCTGCCATCTCTGCCTTCTTTTTTTTTTCAATATCAAGCAACAGCAGCAGCAGCAGCAAAAGTAAATTGTGGCTACGCGTGCGCGTGCAAGGCATACGAAAAGAGGCGGTTAGAGCAGAGCTTAACAGCGCCGCCAACAAGCAGGCACCAGAGATGTGGCAGCAGCAGGCCAGGGGCCTGTTAAAACTTGCACGCTTCGTCGTCATGTCATGACGTGACGAAAAACGAAAAACGAAAACCCAAAGCACAGTCACAACAAAACTTGAAGAAGACTAAAGACTGAGAGACGACTAACTTTGGGGCTCGTCGTTTGATACCCTTGCTGAACCATCGCTTCTATGGTAGCTATGTATATATAAATACAAACATATATACTTATGTATGATGATGCGCTACAAACATGTGGCAAAAATCATCATACTTTGTGCAAAGGGTATGGGTCTGTATGAGTGCGTGTGACTGGGATACATACACAGTATTGCATGGCATGCATGCAAAAAATAAAACGAAAAGCAGCCGAAAGACGAACGAGCGAGAAGGAGAAACCGGCTCGGACCAGCAACTGCAATTTGCCGCGCTCTCCCTCGCACTCTCTCACTTGGTTGCATGCAAACAGCCACTATCGCTGACACTGCCTCTGCCTCTGTCTCTGTCTCTGCCTTATGATTGTGACGTATGCGCAGCAGCAGCGCCGCAGCAGAAAAACTTGTTTCGTTTCATTTCGTTTCGTTTCGTTGATGTCGTGCGCGTCGTCTGGGCACATTGCCAACTGAACTGACGTTGACGTTTGCAAAAACGAAGCAAAAGAAGAATGGGCAGAATATAAAGACGAAGAAGAAGCTGCCAAAAGCAGAAAGCAGAACAAACAACACAACAAAACAAAACAGACACACACACACGCGCACAAAAAGACCAGCTGTGACTGCACAGTGGAACCAGAATGAAAACACTACACAGTGACACGCAATTGTGTGAGGCCATTGTGACGTCATATATATATTGAATGGGGTTGGGGATGGGGGTTTGGGTCTTGGGGCCAGGGGCTTGGTGCTAGGGGCTTGGGGCTTGGGGCTTGCTGGTGAATGAAACTTGTTGTTGCTACTGATTCTGCTGCTGTCGTTGCCAAGTTATATAAAAATATGTATGTCTGTATGTACTGATGTATGCCTACATTCATATATAGAGTAGAAACATTTGTTGTGCCAAGTTCTAAAATTACATTGCGGAACGCAAGAACACACTAACAGAAATGGATAGTGGTATTCCTGCAAACGTTTTTGCTTTGATTTCGTTACCAATTGAAAGCCCATAGTGGAACCTGATTGCTGGTGAGGTCGATTCATGGTCCTACGACTACTACGATCGATTCGAACAATGTAATCTTCGACGACTGAATTCAGGTGCGATAAAAGTAAATTTTAAATGTAGCTAAACTTTTAAAGAAGACCTCAAATATCTTGCAATTATTTCATTTCATTCATTAATGACAATACAAATTCGAAATCATAAACGAGTCCGCTAGTCCGCGAGTCCGCTAGTCCGCTAGTCTGAGTGTCCCATTGTTGTCCCATGACCACCACAGTGGGTGTGGGCAGGCATCACATGAACATGCAAATGCGAATGCAATGTAATTACATAGCGTTATAGCGTAGAGGGGCCAAGGCCCCCACTGTACAATGCACTTGAATGCTGGGGAAATAAATAAACAATTACGAATGTGTTCCACCTGTGCATCTATGTACATCTGAAAAAGAAAAGAAGAAAACCCTTGTTTGTATCTATAATTATCTGGAATATACATACATCTAACTAATCCAAACATCCATCCACTATACATTCCAGAGCACCTGTCCCCGGCCAGTCGACGCAATGGATCTAGCCCGCCCTCGGGACCGCTGCCCCCACGTAGCGTACACTCGCCGAATAGTTCGGGTTAGTTGTGGTTCACTGTTAAGCTTTTTGGGCTATGATGATGATGCTATCGAATGTTAAGTGATCCTGTTAGGGTGAAATCAAAAAGGGAATACCGAGGAGGGCAGCCGCATTACACGAAAATAATACGAACCAATTAGAAAAAAGATGAACTTTAATACTATAAAGATTAATTTCTGGTTGATCCCTGAAAGATCCCAAAGCACGAAGTTTCTGGAAAGTTGTATCAATTAGTAAACGACTGAGACTATATTCCCATATACTCCTTCTCCTGTCTGTCCATCCGTATGACTGAAATGTTTCCACAAGCTGGAACTGGGAATTCCGGGGTTTCTTGTTGAACGATTATCATCTCTAAAACGAAAATGCAGCCCAATGTATAATCCATTTCCATTTGTAACTCTTTTCCATTTTTATTGTCATACAGGCTCCTCGTCGGGTCGGCGATCGTCGGGCTCCCGGCATGTGTCCAGCACAACCGTCACAAGCACAGAGGTGGGTGGTGCGAATGCCGGGCAGGCGGCCGTATCCGGCGGACTGGGCAGTGGCAGCGGAGGAGTAGCCGGCTCTTTGGGGGTGCCGGGCGGCGCCAGCAACTCCCAGCTGTCCGGTGGCAGTGCCACACCTGGCAACGGGGGCGGACCCTCATCTATGCCACCCGGTGCGGGGGCCGGCGACGGCAGCACGGCCGGGGGCAGTAATGGAGGCACCGGCATCGGCGGCGGCGGCGGTCCGTCCGGCAGCAATGGCAGCGGAGCCGTGAACCCTGGCCCCGGGAGCAGTGGCAGTCAAGGCACGCCAGGCATGGGCAGCGGCGGAGGTGCTGGTGGTGCCGGTATCAGTGGGGCGCCGGGCGGCAGTGCAGCATCAAATTCGGCAGCGGCGGCAGCGGCTGCGGCCGCCCAGAATGCCACGCTCAAGTGCACCCTGTGCCAGGAGCGGCTCGAGGACACGCACTTTGTCCAGTGTCCGTCGGTGAATCATCACAAGTTCTGTTTCCCCTGCAGCCGCGAGAGCATTAAGCGGCAGAATGTGAGTATTTGTGACCCTCTCCGCAGAGCGTTTTACTGATACTTTCTCTCCCTCTCCTTTTTCCCCAGGGACTGGGCAACGAGGTGTACTGTCCGAGTGGCGACCGCTGTCCGCTAGCCAACTCCACCATACCGTGGGCGTTCATGCAAGGCGAGATCACCACCATACTGGGCGAGGAGGTGAAGGTGAAGAAGGAGCGCGAGTCTTAATGTCCGTTTTACTGTAAAAAGCTGCGCAGAGCTTTGGAGCACTTTTGAGAGAGTTGTGTTTGTGTGTGTGTGATCTCTCTATATCTTTCTCTGTATACCTCTCTCTCGCACACTCACACGCCAAAACTCTCTCTCTCTATTGCACACGCCGCTCTCCCGCTGGAGTCAGTTTGTGTGGGTATGTGAGGGGAGGGCTGGAGAGGAGGCGACATTTTTTTTGTGGCAACCGCAGCCGGTGACTGCGGCGGCGGTAATGTTAACGGCAGGAGAAGCAGCCAGCGTTAAAAGCTATCTCTCTCTCTCTGTCGAAGACGACCGACCGACCGATAGATCGGTCGTCCGACCGATCAATCAACAACAATAATTTTGTAGGCAGCAAAGAACTGCTGGGGCATGCCCCACCATATGGTGGGGGATCCCAAAAAAAAAAAAAACAAAAACAAAATAAAACAAAAAATTGAATCAAAGCAAAAGCGCAAGCAGAAGCGGAAACGGAAGCGTTAAAACGTGAAAAGAGAACACCAACACCAACAACATAAACAACAACAAAAACACCAACAACCAACGATAAGATGAAACATTTTTGTAGCATACTTATGGGAGGAAGGAAGGAAATGGAGCAGAGAAGCAGAAGAGGAGGAAGGCCCCGAGAAGCGAGAGAAAAATTGAAACATTTCTTATTAAAAACAAGAAAGAAAACCTACAACTTATACACCTAGAAAACAGATCATAGAAACAGTAAAACAGAAAAATACACTTGCTAGATATTAGACGATAACTTTCCTTTTTTTGAATACACGTAGATCTACATATAAATACTATACGATAATGATACATTTTGTTATGTAGGCAGGCTCGATCGAGAGCGATTTTAATCATAAGTTTACATTTAGTTTGTACTAACGACTTAATTTATTTGACTAGACGTTGCCTAATTTAGTATACACCTTCACACCCCACGCGGGTGATCGAACTCCAGTAAATATATATTATAGTTTTTTTTTTTTATTTTAATATTAACTTAATTTTGTTTTTACACATTTGTACACATACATATATAGGGTATATATGACCGTTTTTTTTTGTTTTCTTAACTAATTTAAAATGATGAAGAGAAAAGAAAAATCAACACATAAAATAATGAAGAATGAAGAAAAGAAACGATGGAAACGAGAAAGAGCAACTATTATTATTGCTATAGAGAACTGTACATACGTATGCATACCCCATAATCGGAATATAAATATAAACATGCTATATTTAATAATATATAGAAATATATTTGATGTTGAAACCAGAGAAGAAACAACCAGAGCCAGAACTAAAATTTTAAACAAATTTTTAATCCAAGCGAATGCCGTAGAACGCAGAACGCAGAAGGCAGAACGCAGATCGCAGAAGAATCAATCACACAAAAGAGCAGCAGTAAAATTTTAGCCATATTTTTGTCGGATCGGATGGAGGGCATGCACAGCAGTTGCAGTTGCGTCGTTGCCAGACTTCCGCTCAGCCTAACCAGAAGAAGTCTGGCAGCATTGTGTGTGCTCCCTTTGGGAAGTATTTCGCAGTTTACTGGGGTATTAGCGCTGGCCAAGCGATCATCGATTAAGCGAATTTTTGTAGCTCTATATATCTGAGCCGAAAACTGAAAACGCACAGGACCAAACACCGAGCCCGAACAAAATCGGGTAACATTTCAACCCAAAACAAAAAAAAACACTGGATACACAGGGTTTAATGAAATGTGTTTTTTGATCAGGTCCAAGTCCGTGTACACGGCCTGCGTTTTGTGTGGGACTGTGCAGTCGATCATGACTGTACTTTTTTGCAAGTCCAAACCAAACTAATTTACACGCATTAGTACATTACTTAGTACATACGACTAGCGGTTTTTTACTAGCGAATAGCGAACAGCGCACAGCAATGGAGGTAACAAAGGTGTACTTATTCCAGATGAGGAGCCGGTCTCTGGAAAGCTCCCTCACCTTGTATAGACACCCTGTACTGGAAATTTTCAGGGGGTTATTCATGAATATACAATTTACGTGTGCATATACTCGTACAAACAGAAATAAATATATATGGCGGGAACATGTATGGAACTCTTGAAGGCTACATACATACATATGTTACGTATGTGGATGGAGCATAGAAATGAAAGCTATCCTGAGGAAGAGACTATCAACTCTACTTTTTCGGGAGTACCAACGTTAGCTACTCGTCTAACGAGGCGGAAACCTGCAGATCGGTGGCTGCCTCGTTTGGGTAGGGCTCAGCCCCAAAATGGCAATGAAGTAGTAGCTGCCAATCTCTGTATAACCTTCTCTAGTGGCACTCTAGTTTTCTTCAAAACCATTTCCCCTCCCTTAATCCAGTGAATCAAAGAAAGGAAAGAAAAGAGAAACAAAACACATTTTGTGATATAGCCTAGCAAGAACATGAAGGAATAGAAAAAACAGGATAGCAGGGAGCAGTGCACTAAGAAACGGGGATATCAGCCCTATCGCTCTCCTATTGTGAAAGGGAGAGAGGCATTTCGAGTGAAGGCAAAAGAGATATGCATACTGATATGTAGGCAAACAATATGATCCCCAATATCCGCACTCTACGAACAGCGGCCGCAAAAAGAAACAAATCTCACATTCGCAATTGACAAAAAAATACATTCGAGTACATACATATATAAAAAAAAAAAAAAAAAAACAAAAACAAAAACAAAAGAAAATAATACCCTCTGCTAGAGTATAAAAAAGTACATAATTCATACAATAGGCCAATACCAACGTTTTAGCAATCTAAGTCTAAGAAGGAAACTAATCGAAACTTTCTTTATAACATAAAAAAACTCTAAGACAAAAAAAATTGAAAAAGTTTACAAACCTGTGCGTGTGTGTGTAATACAGTAGTGCTATATAATATAGATCAGATATCGCATAACGCATCCAGCCTATATAAGTACGATACATATTACAAAACAACAAAAGAACGAAAAAAAGGCAAAAGAAAAATAACAAAAAAAACTATAAAATATATGTATTTGTGTGTTTGATGTCAACTAAATGTTAAAGTCAACTAAAGGTCCCGTATGTAATTGTATTGAATAGCCCAACATTTTTTGAAACGAAGAAAACCGAGGCGATTCGAATTAGCATGAGTATCAATCTTTATACTATACATACATACACATACATATACATATATACACGACTATATACATATATATAGCGATATATGTATGTGGTACGACTAATGCAAGAGGATATGGATATGGATATGGCTGGCGGAATGAACGGCTGAGCTGAGGCTCAGGCTGACGATGATGATAACAGGCAAAACAATTAAAAATACTATACAAAATCGAAAAAAAAACTACCAAAGATATTTCCTTCCTTTTAAGTTTTTAAGTGTGGGCGGGTCCCAGTTGGCACAACAGACAGCACTCAGAGGAGTCTTCAATGGCGTTCAAATTGTTGCTGTCTTGCTTAATGAAGCACCTAAGAAATTAGACCTCATAGCGTAGACCAAGCATATCTTTCTTTTCTATTTTTGCGGATTGAATCGGAAACGCCAGGGGCCAGAGTTGGATCCAGACTCTCGCCAAGACCACACCTACGTTGCCGCGAAGTTTACTTTGCATCTATGGGTTGGCTGGCGAATCACTGGGGATTCGTCGTCAATGGTTCTCATTAGGAAGTTTTTTTTTTTAGAAACGCACAATAACTGCTGCTTCGATATCGATAGACGGTTTGACTGGCCTGAAATTCAAATTACAAAGTACTGCCATTTCGCCACAGATGGCGCACCTCGCCGCAGGGGAAATTCCATGTAGAAATCATGTATCATGTAGAATTTTTGTGTTATGATTATTTTCGCATATTTTAATATGCTCAATAAATTTATTTCTAATTACACCTCGAATTGTACATCACCCAAATAAATAAAAAACAACAAACTGCGAATTTCCGTTGGCAGATAAAATTTCGATCAATATACAGATGTCCACTGTTTCTTCATTCACAAGTTTTTCGTCTTCTTTTGGTTTCATATAACCAAAAAGGTTTTTAGGTATTTAGCTACAATATCTACAAATCTAGTGAAATATCTCAAAACAAGCAGAGGATAAAACACTATCGATTCCAAAACGGAACCCAAAATCAAACGCGAAAAACGGGGCAAGGCTTATCATGTTGTAAATTGTTTTGGAAATAAAAGAATAGGCGATTGAATTCGATCCCGTATCTGTATTTGTACTCGGGAGCTCCTTAAAGCTGTGATGACACTAGACTTTGCTAAATTTGCTGCGAAGAGAGAAATAGCTTGATAGACAAGGCGTCTGCAGGGTGGATGGAGTTGGATCACATTTTCTTCACCGTCTTCCGCCTGGGAGCCCACATAGGAGCCGGTGATTGTGTCGGATCTGTTGTCCAGGCCATAGGAAACTGATGGTGGCAATGCGACTTGGACCTTCCTGCTGTTTTGAGTCTTACATTCCCCGCTAGGGTTTCATATCAGCAGCAGTTTTGAATTTTTCTGTGGACAAGACCAAAATGGTTGCGCGCCAACGCGGGTTCTATCGGTCACCGCGACGGCAGGACGGCTATGTTCCAGGCACTTGGCCAGCAGCTCCTTGTTGGAGATGGTTTCCAGGTCCGAGAGATCCGAAATATTTAAAGCAGTCGTGCAAGGACACGGCAAACAAAAATGTTGCCAATTGGAAGCTATCGATTGAACAATCGATACATGTAACTATCGTGTAGTGTTCAAGTGTGTAAATAAATTTATGAATTTATACAAATAAAACGACTATTTTACATTTACATATTTTACAATCTTAAAGAAAGTTGATTAATCTATCAGGACAATATCGATATTTGTACAAATGCATCAATATTCATTCAACACCCCTGCGCTGCTCTTCTCCTGCAAGGCCCGGCAACGTTTTGATTGCTCCCAATGTTTACATTTTAACGACCTGCAGAGGGTTCTTTCTCCCCGGCTCCGGCTTCGGCTTCGGCTTTGGCTTCAGCTTCTGTTTGGGCTTCGGCTATTTTCGGTCTCGTTTTCGGTGCTGCTCAGGTTTCGGCTGGTGAACCGCGAACCGTACCGTGCTGTGCCCTGCCGTGCCGTGCCGCGAATCTGTCTGCAGCCGCTTGCTGTAACCTGACGCCGCCAGAGCCACTCTGTTATTTGTGCGTGCGCGTTGCCAATAAACGGGCAGCGGCTTCAGCTCTGCTCCTCTGGCCAAGTGGCGTAGCGGATTTGTGTGATAAAAGTGTGAATTTTGATTGTATTGGACTCTAAAATATCAACCAAACTAAACAAAACTCCAAGTGTTTATCCCATTTCCAGTATGCAAAAAACTATCGGTGTGTGTGTTTTTGACAGTGTATGTGTGTGTGTGATGGCCCCAAAATGTAGGCAACAAAAACCTTCATTGAGGCTGCGAAACAGTTAAGCGAGCGAGAGAGAAAGCATCTGTGAGCTGTTATCGACTCGCTCTCCCTCTCCCAAGTGATGGCATGGAATTCCTTTGCAGAGCAACGTGTTTGTGTTATACACAGGACACGGCAACACGAGGCACCGCACGGGTGCTCCAGAACAGGAGCCTGACAGGATACGATACTCTGTCGCGCCACTGCCGTGCCGTGCCTTGCCTTGCGCCCACGCACGTCCCGAAGAGCGAATGCTGGCGCACGAGAGCGCGCTCTTGCTCTCTCTTTCTCTTTCTCTTTCTCGTTCTCTATCTCTATCTCGCCCTTGCTGTCTCTCTTTTTGCGATGGTTGCTCTGGGATGCACAGTGGTAAAACTCACGCGGCGGTTGTTTTCTGAAAGCAATGATGACGGGCAAGAAGGTCCAAGTTTTTTTTAATATCTTTTTCTGTTAACAAGGAAAAGCACAGCTTAAAGAAGTTTTAAAGGCGTTCAAGAATCCGAAGTTTCCTAAAAACGAATGGGTCACCTGACTCTCCTTTGTTTCACTACACTGTGATGCTTAACGGCTATAGAATTCTCT